CACAAGTAACAAGTACAATTATTAGAAAGCTTTTAGGGAGGTTTGTGTATGGTAGCATCAGGCCCAGCTTAACATTGTTTTTTTTTAAAATGGAAATGTGAGCCATGATACATTTGCTTGCATTGTCTTTCAGTGTAATTTTAGTTGGCTTTAGCTGCTATCAATATATAGCTTGATCTGATCATTATAGGTGTGATTTTTGTGTGTGTCTGGATTATAAACTATATTTAAATATACAGATGTAGCCAAGAAGTTTTAAAGTTGACTGAAGAAGACGGGAACTGTAGTGAGAATATGGAACTTGGGGCAGAGGTGCTTCTTGAGGCTGACTGATTTGATACCAGTGAGGGTGTGAAGCTGCAGTGGGGCTTCTGGTGTTCTGCATTACTAATTTACATGGCTCCTGTGGTTAACTTTTTGAATGGCTTTATGGGAAAGGAAGTTTTGGAGAATAATCTGCTGGCAGACATTTTTTTTTGCTTAAAGAGTCCGTGTCCTTGAAGGAACGCTTGAAGTTCTGCTTTTGGTAATTCTTTTGTAGGCGACTTTGCTGTCGTTTATACAGATGGTTGTTGCTCAGGTAACGGACGCAATAGGGCACGTGCTGGAATAGGTGTCTACTGGGGACCAGGTCATCCTTTGTAAGTAGATGGATGGATGTATATTTTTTTTTTTTTTTTTTTTTAGAATATATTACTGTTTGTTTTGTGTGTGATTTACAATACCAGCCTCCTTTTGAATATGAAACCCTGCTGCTGAGGCTCGTAATGACGGTGAGACTAGAGAGTTACTGAGGGGAAAAGAGAAATCAGCTTCTCTGGTAGGTAAGAATGTGGGGAAAATCAACTGGAAATAATATTTTTAGGAGCTGAAGCTATAATTCAAGTCATGCAGGAAGTTTTAAAATAGGTGTAAGTGTGCACAGAAGATGACAAATGTAGTTGCATATTGATGGCAGGTCCAGATATGCAGGTTGCACTATGCAGGTGGAAGTTAGAGCTAGAATATCTAGTCATCCTCCTTTATAAAAAGAAAAGTAGTGCTCTTGTATTTATCTTTTCCAATGTGTAGCCATACACCATTCTAAATATTTGTGATAATTAATCTACTACTCATTCCTTGGACACAGAAATACCAGTGAAAGACTTGCTGGACGGCAGACTAATCAAAGAGCGGAAATACATGTAAGTAGTAAATGTCCGAAAATGCTTCTGTGTGTGAGGCTGCAGTAGCACACTGTGACTATTTCAGCTCTGGCCTTCAGAAGCCAGTTACGGAGCTATGAGGGATATACACAAAATATCAGGAGTTACGACTTGAAACAAATTGTTCTTTTGAAGTTTTATTGATCTTTATTGGTTTTGAACAAGGTAATTCACCTCGAGAATTCCCAAATATGATCAGGCCAAGCACAGCTGTTTAAAACAGCCTTGCATTAGGAAAGCCTGGTTCTCAAATCTGCGTAGTGTCCTTTGCATTTTTAATGTGCGTATCTCAGATGTTGCGGTGACGGCTGCTGAGTAGCAGTTAAGAGGAGAATCGGCTTCTTACTGTGGTAGGATCAGGGTATCATATTTCTTAGACAAATATAACAAACAATTCTGGGCTCTTGGGAGTCACTTCTGTTGCTTCTGAAGTAAACTACTGTTGGTAACAGCAGATTTAGTCTTCCCTTCGCACCTCATCTTAATTCTGGTACTGCTGCTATCCTGCACTGTGTATTTGGAGATGAACTGAAATGAAGAACTGATCTCCTTAAAAACTACAGGAAGTTCATTTTAGTGAGGGATAAGCAGAGGTGATGGTGGTGTGCCAGGCATCAAACTTGTCACTAAAGAGCTTTTCTGCTCTACATCCAGACCAGCCACTTCTCCCTCTTAGTATATTTCATAGCACCGAAAAAAGCCAACAAAAACCCAACCCTTTTAGGGGTTCCAGACTCTTGAGACCGGTATGAATCCTTCTTCTTGAAAGGTATGGAGAAAATGCCTAAAACTTGGTGAAGTTGATAGAGGCTTTGGTAGTTATAAAATTGGGCAGAGAGCTACTCCTTCATGACAGACTTAAACATCAGAATGTTTTGGGGTTTTTTTTCCAGTGAAACAGAAGTGGCTCCCTGTTTGACAGATTCATTAAGTGGTCGTCTGCATGAATAATTTTGAGCACCTCTGCTCTAAAGCATGTTGATAGTCACTGATGGAGACATCACAGTAGTGTTCTGTGTAGTTCTGTGTTAGCATCAGGTACTTTGCTGGTATTTTAATTGTATGTGTTCAAGATCCTGTTCTGAACTGATTCTGTTGAAATGTTCTGAAGGCAGCCTGCAAAGCAATAGAGCAAGCAAAGAGTCAAAACATCAAGAAACTAATTATCTACACTGATAGCAAGTTCACTATTAATGGTAAGTTAACGATTTTAGTTTTCCTCATTCTTAAAAACACACTGCGCGCTATTTTATTACAGAAGGCCCACAGAACATGCCAACTCCTGGGGAGAGGGATACAAGGAAGAGAACGCGTAACTTATTTCAGTACTCATGACTGCTTAGGGGAAAACTTGAGAATGTTACAGGGGTCACCAGCTAACTGTGTGAAGTACAAGTGGAGACAAAGTGTCTGTTACAGTAAAGGCTGACAGAAGTAACTACAGGATTTTTGTCTTAAGGCATTCATTATGACACAAAGTCTAGAAAAAATGTAGTTCGTGTACACCCTGTTACGAGTGTGCTCAGGAAAGTACGTGGTGTAATAACCCTGTAGGATTTTTGTTCCGTTTTGCTTGGATTGGAGAGGCTGTCTTGCTACACACATGTGAAGTACATTCAAGTTTCCTTGCTTTTACGTGTAGACTACACTTCCAAGCTTTCAGGCTACACTAGAAGACTAGCCAGAGATGATGTGTGCTCAGAGTATGCATTTAAAGTTTCACCTTCATCCAAAGATTTTGAAAATTTTAATTGTATTCCCTATAAATATCATATGAAGCAG